CCTCATCGTCGCCATTGAGACGTCTCCAAAGCGCTTCCCAGGCTACACTGTAAAGCGAAGTGACTGTGTGTGGTTCGTGGGCGAAACCCGGCAGCAGATTGCGCACAGCGACGCGCCCACAAACAGCCGTGGATCGAGCGACTTAAAATTCTTTAGAAGCATTTATTTTTCGAAGGGACGGTTACCCCCCCCCCCCCCCCCCACCCCACCGGGGGTCCTCTCGCTCTAACCGCTGCGCCACGGATCCCGCAGATAAAACATTTTTCCGCAAGGAAAAGGATACAGATTATAACAGGAACGGCTGCAGCCACTTTACCGATTTCTTCATCTGTCTGCATAATTTTCTTTATTCGGGCCTAAGAGACAACAACAACAACAGCTTGTGTTTGCACAACGCCCACTCACTCGCGCGCAGGGTAGCGTCCTGAGAGTGGCAGAGCACGACACCGAGCCCGGGGGGGGTGGGGGGCGGGTTGAGGGGAGAGAGGGAGTGGGGAGGAGGTGACCCCTCGACACGGTCGAAGCGGAAGGTCTTCAGGCGTGTCCTGAAGAAAGGGGGAAGGAGGAGGGATAGAGGGAGAGGGTTTGGGGGGGGGGGCGCAGTGGCTGAAAGCTCGGGCCGCCCACGGGGAGAGCGAGGATCGAATCCGCTGCCACCGGCCTTCCAGACGGCGGCAACTCTCTGCCGTTAAAAAAATATACGTCTCCTCTGGTTACCGAGGAAACAGTTTCACCCCCATTTAGTCCATCAAAACCCCCTCATACTTAATAATCATTAACAATAATAATAATAATAACCCCCGGGGGAGGGGGGGGGGGGGGGGGGGGGGAGGGTTGACCTGGTGCCTGATCACGTCCTCGAGACGTCTCAAAGCGCTTCGCGGGCTCACGCCGTCGAGTGTAGTGACTGTGTGCGTGTGTTTTGGGGGTCAAACGCCCAGCGACGTCCCCACAAACAGCCATGGCGGGGGGGGGTTGAAGCCACCGAATTATTGTTATTATTATTTTATTGAGGGGTTAATTGTGAATGAAATCTCTATTAACTCTCCCCTCAAACCCTCTCTGCTGCGAGGAGAACAATCTCGGCTTCTCTGGTCCAGTCTCACACCACAAAACCCCTCCTCATCAGTAATCGAGGCCGAGGCTTCGGGGCTGGAACTAGGCCCCAACCGGTTGGGCGGCCCCGGGAGGAGGTGAGACCCCCCCCGGGGTGGGGGAGGCGCCGGGGGAGGGTGTCAGGGGCCGGTGGACGCGGCCGCGGGGCTCTCCTTACCGGCGGGAACCGCGCGTTGTATTTCTTTTTCTTCGACGGCATCTTTCGATGGCTGCCGGGCGACTTCCGGCGCGATGGCGGCGGCACAAGGACTTCCGGCGGCGGCCAGACGTCGCCCGCGTCACTCGAAGCGCGACGGGACCCGAGTCACAGCCAGGCCCGGCGGCTCTGACGTCATTCAATGCGCGACGGAGGGGGTGGGGCTACCCAAGGATTTCCGGTCTGGTGTGTTTTTTTTGCGTGCGTCATCAGATGCGCCAACTGAGAGTGAAGGAACCGCGTGACTTCCGGCCGGCGACGCGACGACGCAAGCAAGGGAGGACCCATCCGGCGGCTTCTACGTCATCAGGAGCGCGACTGCGACTGAGTGATGCGAAGCAAGCGAAGGGAGGTGGTCCTCAGAGGTGGCCGCGGCGGCGCCTGATGAGAAGGTTTTGCCTCAAAGTGCTTCACTGGACATACTGTGAAGTGTAGTGACTGTATTTTATGACCAGGAGAAGGGCCGGGGGACTGGGGACTGGGAGGCGGGGCGGGGTGGTGGACGGGGAGGATTCCCCTCGGCCACGAGTGGTACCCGTCGCCTCCTCCGGGCAGGATTCCACTCGGCCAGGAAGAGGTCGCGGGTCTCGTCGCCTCCGTCTCTGGGGTCAAAGGTTCTCTCCCCACCTTCACCCCCCGCACTCGCGTCAGTTGATCGCTCTCTTCGCTTTCTCTATCTCTTTCCTCTCTCTTTCCGTCTCTCTCCTCTCTCTCTCTCTTCTCCTCTCTCTCTCTTTCCGTCTCTCTCCTCTCTCTCTCTTTCCGTCTCTCTCCTCTCTCTCTCTTTCCGTCTCTCTCCTCTCTCTCTCTTTCCGTCTCTCTCCTCTCTCTCTTTCCGTCGCTCTCCTCTCTCTCTTTCCGTCTCTCTCCTCTCTCTCTCTTTCCGTCTCTCTCTCACACTCTCTCTCTCTTTCCGTCTCTCTCCTCTCTCTCTCTTTCCGTCTCTCTCCTCTCTCTCTCTTTCCGTCTCTCTCCTCTCTCTTTCTGTCTCTCTCTCCTAACTCTTTCCGTCTCTCTCCTAACTCTTTCTGTCTCCCTCTCTCTCTCTGTCTCTATCACACACACGCCTCAGGGGCTCTGGGACGCTGCCCTGCGTGAGGGGCGTGATATAACTGCAAATTCTAGTCTCTCCTCTCTCTGTCTCTGCAAGTCAAAGCACTAACTAACTAACTAACTAACTAACTATAACTAACTAACTAGCTGACTAGCAGGGAGGGTGGTCCTAGCTGGACAAGCAGCGGGAAAGCTTGGCCAGACAGTGCTCTTGCTCTCTCTCCCTCTCTCTCGACTCCAGCAGTTACCCCAACGCGCACTCTGGGCTCCCCCCCCCACCCCCGAGCCTTGGCTCTCGCCCAACCTGCGCCTAATACTCTCCGGAATTGGGTAACCAAGGGGGGGGCGTCCCTCCAGGGAGAGAGAGAGAGAGCGAGAGAGAGAGCGCCTTCCATCCCAACAATCTATCTCTGGGATCTCCAGGTGTGGGGGGGATGTGGGGGATTCTCAGTCGGGTTTGGAGACTCTCAAGCAACGATGACGGGTTTTAACGGGAGCTGAGGGGGAAGATTCCCTGCCCCCAGTGACCGGTCGGCCCTTCCAGGTCCTGCCGATGAGCCGGGCCGGGCCGGGCCGCCATCAGCAGTGAGCGCCCTGGAATACCGCGGACCCTCCTGGCTCAGGAACCGGTGGGGGGGGGGGGGGGGGGCTGGAGACCGGCGCAGAGGAGCGGGTTCGATTCTGTCGTCACACCTTGAGGCCATTCAGCACTGAGGAGACCCCACTTAAGTCAGAAGTCGGTGGGAGGAAGAAGCTAAAGCTGCTTCAAGCGGAGAATAAATTAACAGTTAAAGCCACAGTATTACAATTTATTGTTCCGGCACACTGAAACTTAGCTCCGTGTAAATGTCATGGCTACAAGGGATTTAGCACAGTGTCCGTCCGTCCGTCCGTCCGTGTGTGTGTGTGTGTGTGTGTGGGTGGTGGAAAAAAATAGAGAATGATAACTAATATTAATCGGATGTTAAATCTACTTGGGAGTCAGTCCTGTAGCATTGTGGTTGCACACATGCACATGGTCACACTCGCACACACGCTCTCGCACACTCACACACGTGCACGTACTCGCACTCACTCTCACGCACCCACCCCTTCTCTCGCACGCGCCTCTCACACCACAACCCCTCTCTCACACCCTCTCTCTCACGCGCAGCAAACCAGATTTATAAAAAAAAATTAAGTCGCCGTATAAAAATTATATATATATATATTAAAAACAGTTTGAACACTTAATTATCTGGGTGGGGTGGGGGGTGGGGGGGTAAATAGCTTACACCCCTCTTTCTCTCCCCCCACCCACCCCACCCCTCCCACACACACACAGGCTCGATGGGCCGAATGGCCTCCTTCTGCGCTGCAAAATTCGATGATTCACATCAGGGAAGGCACGTGCGTGGGGGGGGGTGGGGGGGTGGGGAAGAGAAGACTCAAGATTTTCACCCACAAAACACACAGTCACTACGCTTTACAGTGCATCCGGTGAAGCGCTTTGAGACGCCCCGACGACGTGATGAGGCGCCGGACCTATCAAATGCAAGGATTATGATTATTATGACGAGGGAACAGTTTAGCAGAAAAAATAGCCCCCAAAACTAGACGAGAAGAGCAAAATGAATATTTACACGAATAATAAAGGGTTAAATTCCGCGTCTTTAACAATAGCCGACTAACTTCCCCCCGGAGAATCGAGTTCAAAATCCTCGTCCTCCCCTCAAAGCCTCTCCACGGCCTTGTTCCTCCCCGTCTCCGTGACCTCCAGATCAACCTCAGCGGGCTCCAGCCCGCTCCATCTCCCCCCCGTCCGACCCCACCGTCGACAGTCAGGCCATCAGCCTCTCTGCCCCCCACCCTCGCCCTCTCCCTCGCCTCCTTCAAGACACTCCTCGTCGATCCCCCCCAAACCTCCTGCACCTGCCCAGCCCAGCTCCGTTCCCACAGTCCCTCCGCCTCGCTCGCCTGCTTCAAGGTCCATCTCAAGACCCTTCTCTTCGACTAACCGTGCCTTCGGTCACCCCCCCCCCCCCCCACCCTCCACCCCCTCCTCATCCCAACCCCCAGTTTGGGTCCAAACCCCCCGACTGTGCAGCACCTTGGAACGTCCTCCTGACGTGAAAGGCAACGCGTTGGAACGATTCTTTCCTCTCTCATTCTCACCGACTCTCACCATCGCGCTCCCCGTCCCTCTCTCTCTCGCCCACCATCCCCGACTTTCTCTGTCTCTCTCTGTGTGTCACCATCCCTCTAACCATCCCACTGTCTCTCTCTAACAGTCCCTCTGCCTCTCTCTCTCTCACCATTTCCCTGTCCCTCTCTTTCTCACCGTCTCGCTTGCAAAACACACAGTCACTGCACTTTACAGCGCGTCCTGCGTAGCGCTTTGAGACGTCTCGAAGACGTAACCAGGCAAAACGATATCAAATGCAAGGATTATTAGTGCTATTATTATTATCCGCCTCTCTCCCTCTCTGTCTCACCATTCCTCTATCCGTCTCTCTCTCTCTCTGTGTGTGTCTCACTCTGTCCGTCTCACCCTCTCGCCCTTCTGCGTCTCTCTCACACACACACACAGACGCAACCCTGTCTCCCCCTCTCTGTGTGTCAGACCTGCCGGGTGGGTGGGTGGGGTGGGGTGGGGTGGGGTATGGGAGTTGGTGTGAAGTCTGTGTGTGCGCGTGCGTGGGTGCGTGCGGCGAGGGCGGGCGAGCGCGAGCGAGGAGTGTTACGCAGGGCGAGCGTTGTTGCCTCACTGTCCGCCCGGCAAGTGACAGTCCTCTGCCGCTCCCGTGCAGAACTGGTTAATCTCCAGCGTGGTCATGAAATCCAGGCCGTCGCGGAGGAAGGACATAGTCCCGTCCTCGAGCGTCAAGTCCGCCAGGGGATCCGCCGGCTTGTTCTCCTCCATCTTGTCGTCGGCCATGAGCTTGAGCAGGTCGGGCGGGTAGCTCATCATGGTGGACGGGTATCCCAGCGAGGCTGCGTCCCCCCTGTCCCTCCCGACGACCGGCTCCACGTCTCGATAGGCGTCCAGCAGCTCCTGGAAGTCCTCGTTGTCGATGGAGGCCAGGCTGACGCACTCGTCCTCGTTCAGGAAGCTCAGCATCTCGGGGCCCGAGCCGATGTCCAGCCCCCACTCGGCGCCGGAGCCGGCCCCTCCCGCGGGGGCCTGGCACGGCACCAGGCCCGAAGCCTGGGGCTGGGAGTTGAGGATCTGGGGCGGGCCGGGAGCCTGGGCCTGGGGCTCGCCTGACGCCCGGGCCAGGAGAGGCCCGTGCGGGTACGAGGCCCCGAACAGCTCCGTGGCGTCGATGGTCGACAGGACGTGCGTCACGTCGGGGGCCGGGGCAGAGCCTGAGGCCTGGAACAGGCCCGAAGCCTGGGGGTGGGAGTTGGGGACTTGGCCTAGGCCTGAGGCCTGGAGCAGGCCCGAAGCCTTGAGGTGGGAGTTCTGCAGTAGGCCCGAAGCCTGGGAGTTGGGGCCCAGGACAAGGCCCGAAGGCTGGAGGTGGGAGTTGGAGGCCTGGGCCGGCCTGAAGCGATTCTCGGTCACTGTGCCCATGGAGGTCAGGCTGTAGAATGATTGCTGCAGGGAGCTGGCCGGGGCCTGCGTCCGGCCCAGGAGGCCCGACGAGCGGTTGAACGCGGAGCTCGGAGCCAGGCTTCCCCGCTGGTGTACAGGCCCGAGGACGTCAGGGGGAACAGCGTCTGTGAAAGAGAAGCAGAAGATCCATCCATCTGTCCGTCTGTCCGTCTGTCCACCCACCCATCCATCTTGACCCAGCGCCTTATCACGTCGTCGAGACACCTCAAAGCACTTCACAGGGACGTCACCGTAAAGCGTAGTGACTGTGTGTTTTGTGGGCGAAACAGGAGCGTCCCCACAAACAGTCGTGGATTGAGCGACTAAATTATTATTATTATTATTATTATTATTATTATTATTATTATTATTATTATCACTTGTTTCGAAGGGATTTCGGGGGCAAAGGCGGGGAAGAACTGGGTGAAAAACTGCCTCCTGACTTGTGACAGTTACTACACTGTGAAGTAACTCTCTCTGCGCCTCACCTCTCTGTCCCAGCTTCCTCGGGGTCCTGGTGTCTTCCAGGGTCCGTCTCGCGACGAGGGTGGGTCTCTGTGTCGCTGAAATGAGGGGGGAGAGGGGGAACGAGGTCAGAGAGAGAGAGAGAGAGAGGGGGGGGGAGAAAAGAGAGGTAGAGAGAGAGCGAGAGGGAGAGAGAGAGGGGCACAGAGAAGCGGAGAGAAAGAGAGAGATAGAGAGAGACAGGGAGAGAGACACACACACACACACGCAGAGAGTGAAGGAGAAACAGAGCGAGAGAGAGAGAGAGACAGAAAGAGAGAGACAGACAGAAAGAGCGAGAGAAAGTGAAAAAGAGAGAGAGAGAGAGAGAGACACATACACACACACACAGGAAGAGAGAGAGAGAGAGAGAGAGAGAGCGTGATAGAAAGCCGGAGAGAGAGAGAGAGAGACACACACACATGTTGAGAGAGAGAGAGAGAGAGAGATACACACGCGGAGACAGGAAGAGAGAGAGTGATAGAAAGATGGAGAGAGAGAGAGAGAGAGAGACACACACACACACCTGACATGTTACATGTTTGTAACATGTTGTTGAACACGATCTGTGTTTTCCGTCGCTTCTCCTCCTTGCTGTAGGGATCTGCCAGAGAGAGAGAGAGAGAGAGCGCGTGTCAGTGTCTGAAACACGCCTTGAACACGCAAAGCACATGCGGAAACACGCAGAGAACACGCGCAGAGAGTAAACACGCGCACACGCGCGCAGAAACACGAGTAAACATACAGGTACAGGGAACATGGACAAACACATGGGAGACACACACACACAGAGCCACACAAACATGCGTAAACACACGGGAGACACACAAAGACATGTGTCAACACATGGGAGACACGCACAAATGTGTAAACACATGGGAGACACACAAAAACTTGCGAAACCACACGGGAGACACACAAAAACACGCATAAACACACAGGAGAGAGACACACAAACACGCGTAACCACACGGGAATCACACAAAAACATGCGTGAGCACACGGGAGACACGTACACGCGCGGAAAACCCACAAAGGTGCGTAAACAGGTGTG